TATTGGTGGTCCTAGGTTGTATAGGAAAACTCATCCCCGCTTCCTGCAGCAGAAACAGCTTCATTATGACCCTTGGTTGCAGCGTGGTTATTCTAGCTGCTGTAGGACCACCACTCTGCTGCTTATATTTCCAAGGTCTTAACTGATCTTCTGGATAGGCAAAAAGTTGCTGAGCTGTATCCTGATGAGCTGCAGAACAACAGAATGTGCATCTTGGAAGGTGGTGGTTTGTCATCTTCAGACTGTAGGTAGATGAACTGACTGAACAGCTTTGGCAAGAAAAAAAGAGACAGAATAGACTTGATTAGCCACATGCTGCTATACGAAATACTTTGATTTACTAAATAACGTGAACATTGTTAGTGGACTGTGTCATCTCTCTTTCTGGGTTGTTCCTGAGTAGGTTGTACAGCCTAGCGCCAGCAGAGATCTCATGAATCTCCGGTGATGTCTGTCTTCCACTGTATGAGCTGATCTGCCTGCTGTATCTTACCTTTAAACCAGTTATCTCTTGATGTAAGGACCTTTGTTCTTACTACACAGTGTTAATCTACACTGTGGCTGCTTAAATTTCTGGAATCCTTTTTTTTTAAGTATTACAGGGTCTTCCATATTCATGTGTACCTACATGTACATCTAAGAGAGATGTAAGGCACTTGTTTTCAGAAACCATTCTTTCTCATCCCAAGAATGACACAGGTACTCATATGTCAGCTAGTTTTATCTATTGTTACAGAGTGTAATAATTTGCCTAGTGCAGGCATTAAAATAATAGACTTCAGTTCTGTGGAACTTTAAAAGCAAAAAAACAACCCCCTCCCCCAAAATGCCTCACCGCATTTGCCACTGCTGGGTGTGCAGAATCCAGGAAAGTTTTCTGCTCCTGATGTCTTTGAAGGACAATTTAGTAGTAGTATCCTAGTAGGTAAAGCACTTGCTGAGGGTGAAGAAAGTCTGTGTGCACTGCCTTCATCTGAAGGGGAGGTTGATTTCCTATTTCCTAACAGAGTGACTTAGTCATTGAACTATTCTGAGGAGGTGTACTTAATTTAATAAGATATAAACAAATTATATTAATTTTATTACATTTTCACTGACTTGAGGCCTGGAATGCAGTTAGGGTTTTTTCTCAGGAAATGAGTGAATCAGCTGGTGGTTGTGCCTATGAATATTTACATGTTCTGTGTGGAAGAAATAGAGGGGAAACTCCTTTCAGAATGATTTTTTTAACCTAGCATTAAGGAAACAATTGTGGGAGGCCTTGGTTTAAATCTGAACAATGGTTGATAAAATAAGTTTAAATGGGGTCACCAGCCACAGTCTAAGTTAGGTTTCTCAGGCTATTCTCATGCAAATGCTAACATAATTCTGTAAAGCTTTAGGAACATCCTGTGCTAGAATATCATCTGTTATGGTGGTGGAAGTACTTTCCTGGAAGGTGAAAGAATTGCATTTTAGGTTTCCTTGAACAGAAAACCCAGGCCCTTGATCTTACACTTCTTGAGTTTCTGAACAAAAGGGTGGTAGTATCAGCGCCGCAGAACTGTGAATCTTGCATTGGCTTTTTCTTCTATTTTAAAAATACTTGAAGACTAAACTCAGGGGTGGGGTTGAGATTCCTTATGCTTTTTTAAATTTGATTGCTTAACAACAACAAAATCAAAACTATAACCCAGCCTCTTAAGAAATGCACTGTGCTCGATAGGTGTGTTGCTCTCTGAGGTGGAGTGTGAGCAGTGTGTTTTACAGGAGGAGAAGTGGAAGGATAATTTCTAAAGTTACTCCCAGCAAGGTTCATCAGAGTTCTACCAGGGAACCCTAAATTACCCAGAGACACCTTACGACTACGTAAGTCAAACCCAACACTCTAAACCTGGACCAGAAATCAGTTGGTAGCTAGTTTAGGTCAGAAAGCACAAAGATAATAGTCTGTGGCTGAGAAATAACCAGTTGTGCACAAACTGCTGTTGTTTTATTTTGCAACGGTGTGATACAGCCCAACCTGAAACCAACAACAACAGCGTGAATAGAAGTAGTGAGGTCTGGCTGGAGTTAAAAGATAGCAGCAAGTGATAAAAGGAATGCATTGCTAGTTGCAGTGACTGAGAAATACTTGCTATGCTAATAGCAAGGGAAGCAGTGATTTTTAAGTTAATTAGATTCAGCTTTTCTTTTAATACCATTTGGTGTGCAGAGCAGGTTACTTAGAGGTGCAGTTCTGAACCTCAGAAGAAAGGCTTTCATGGAGAGCAGGTAACCTTATGGAAATGACAACATGTAATTCATCATCGTTAATGTGGGTTTGGACTAGCTGACTGGAGAGGTCTCACTCACATGCAATTTGATAACAGGTTCCCATTGTCAGTAAAAATTTATTCAAATAAGGGAGGTTATAATATACTTATCACCTCTCTTCCACCAGATACTTTTTAGTTAAACATCTAACATGTAATTTACAAGTATCTTGAAAACATATTTTAAAGTGCACATAGTTCTTAATTATCCATAGTAGTCTTAATATATTAAATGAAATTTCTGTAATAATTTATAATGTATTTCTAGTACATCAGGATCCATTCTAGAATTAAATTTTTTTCTCTGTGTTCTTAATTTCTGATATTGATTAATGTGAACCTTGAGTTTTAGCAGCTTTACCTTACAGACATTTGTGTTCTAAGGTAATTGAGGCATTGATAACTAGTTGGAGTGGTATTAAGCAAACTCTATGCTGTAATACTGTTATGCTTGTATTTGTAATATTGGAAAGACATTGGTCTTGGTCTTCTGGAGTTCATGTTAAATTCTTGCATCCACTGGTCCTATTAGGAATTCAACACATCTGCTAACTGTTGCATGGAAAATACTTTTATTATTTTAAATCAGATTCTGACAGGCTTTGTCGTGCAAGTCCCTACTCCTTGAATTGGGACTTGTTGCAAGTTCTTTCCATGTTGTGTGTCTTCCTGCCCAAGGTTTTTTATTTTCATATTTCCCCGATTCCCTTTGCAGCTTGTCATCTCATGTATCTCTCCCAACCTCTTGCATTCCCCCCATTTTGCTCAGAGATTGCTTCACAGTTTGAATTTCTGTGTCCAGTAAGTCCTAAATTCTCCTGAATCTCTCTTCATGCTCCCCAGTGCTTATTTTGGTAGAATGACTGATCTCAAGTCTGACTCATGATCCTGCTTCATTAGATTCAGATGGACATAGGCTCAACTCCTATGCTGGACATAGGCTTAATTCTCTATGCTGGTATATGGGTCTGATTCTTTCGTGAATACTCACCTTATGTAGGGC